AGGGCTGCAGGGAAGGAAGGGAAGGAGAGGGGCCAGCCACGCACCCCCACTTCTCACTCACTCCCACATCTCCAGATGCTTATGACCCCAATTTCCTAAACCTCAAATTTCAACAGAAGGGCCAGCATCAGGATTGGAAACTGTGCACAGCAAAGCCAGAGGCGAAGCGGGCATCTGCTCCCTGGCCCAGGACATCCAACTCTGCTTGAAGCAGTTCTTGGACCCAGCCTTACTGTCTCCCTACCAGGTCGTTAAGTAAACTCACAAGAGCCTGTTCACTGGAAGCCCAGCTCTAGTGGACCCGGAGAGCAGCCAGTCCAGGCAGTCGTGGGTCCTCACGTCCCGTGTCACAGTCTAGGACCACAGTCCACACGACACCGGAATCAAGGACTGTGTTCAAGGGCCGGCCCCGCAGCTCCCTCCTTTTGCCACTGGATGGAGCACTCTCAACGTCTAGCCTGTGTGTCCCAAGTCCAAGGCTAACCTTCACCACTGGGGAGTGGGGCGGCAGGGAGAGAGGCCACGACGTGCCAGGGACTAAAGCCAGGAGCTTAGCTAGCCTCTGACTCTTAGAGGCTGCAGCACAAATATCCTCCTTATGAGGCCCCATGCTCAGGAATGAACCCCTTTCACGATCGCAGCACAGAGACAGCGCCCTGACTGACCAATGCCAGGGCTTCCACATTTCTACCCCATCAAACGCAGCCTCCATTCTCCCCAGAAAAGCCTGCAGCAGCAGGTGCCCGCCCTTTCCAGGTGAGAGCGGGGCATGAGGGCAGAGCTGGCCTTTGACACTCCATCCCATGCGCCCTGATGTCCTCTCAGTGCCAGGGGCCACAGGGACCTCAAGGCAGAGAGTTCCTATATCACCTACAAGTTTCTATCCAAACCATCGAGCCCAAGCGGTTTCTATGGCAATCACTGCCCAAGAGTTGAGAGTGCCCGAGCAGGAACAAGAGTGGCAGAGGGACAACGGGGCTACAAAGATGGATGTGGAGGCGAACAGGTAACGTGAACACTAGAGAATAAATGCATGCCCACAGAAGAGCGTTCTAGAAGTGGCCTCACCTTGCTCCACAGAGAGCTCACACAGGACCAGGGAGAAGGGACACGGGACACAAAACCCTCAGCCACCTGGACAGCACTTCCCTTGACGAGGGCCCCCTCCACTCCTCAGTGAGCACCCTCCTCACCACCTTGCACGAGTGCTCTCAG